GCATGATTGGCAACATGTGGCATTCTCCTACTGTACAGAGCCCAATCTATTTTCCTTTTCTCTCTCCAACACCCGCTCTTCACTTCCGAGTGTGATCCACTGGCGAGAGCGATGAAAGAAAAATCAAATAGTCCACTTATTCCATGATTGAGAGTACCGTCGATCTTTCCTGCCTTTTCTATTTTGTTGGACTGAACATCATTCATAAAGTGTAACCTGATTGAGGACGCTGGACCCGTTTTCCAGCAGGTGATGCTCCCCACCAATAGCTGGAGCCTCTCCCTAGGTGCAAGTGGTGTCTGCTCTTATCAGCAGCACTAACACTGGCGGGGCGTTTCCAAAAAAAAAAAAAGAAAAAAGAGGCCAGGGTCCTCCCAGTCTACCCGAAAAGAAAATCTCAATCATTTCTGCCTCATTTCCTTTTTCTTTCGGACAATTTGCATTATACCCCTCAAAGTTGAGGTAGATGCCAAAATGCCCCTAAAACATGTGGATAGAGCAGAATACCCTTCTGAATTAAAAATCTTTGCAAAATACCCTCCGTCGAATTGGACCGGCCATTTTTGCAATATGCCCCCACCAGGTACGGGTCCAACTTTCCAAAATACCCCTATACGTGCCCACTTTCAAAGGGCCCAATTCATTTTCAGTTTACCGGTACTGGCCCACGTCATCTTTTCAATACACCCCCCTGGCCGTTGGGCCGAATCTCTCTCTCTCTCTCTCTGGTACTGGCCCACGTCATCTTTTCAATACACCCCCCTGGCCGTTGGGGCGAATCTCTCTCTCTCTCTCTCTCTCTCTCTCTCTCTCTCTCTCTCTCTCTCTCTCTCTCTCTCTCNCTCTCTCTCACACACACACACACACACACACACACACACACACACACACACACACAGAGGAGACCTTGGAGGAATAGTGAGGGAGGAGGAGGTCGGACACGGAGGACCTTACCAGGACAGAGACAAACTTGCAAACCCAGCATGAGCCGGCCAACGTCGAGGGACATGCACTCGTTTCCAAAGTTTGAATTCAGAGTCCCAGATTGCCACACCTAGGGCCTGGGTATTCTGCAAAGTTCTCCGCTGCTTAGGGAGGGCAAACTGGGTAAAACAGGGTGCAGGCCCAGGTCCGAACGGAGAGGTGCAGATTGCAAATTTGCACCCCGCCCTGACAGGGCCATATCACAAAGAATTCAGGCCAAAAGCGCATTCCTCTCTACCCACGTCTTTCAGGGGCATTTTGGCATATCGCAACTTTGAGGGGTGTAACACAAATTTTCCTTGTTTTGTTCTGGGGGTTTATCTTATTTTTTCCTGCATTTTTCAAGAGGATGCAGAAGAAACAAACCGAAGGAGGGTGCCATCATTGCTGATTTTGTCTATTCTGGATCTTTTCTTCCTTTCTTTTTCTTCATCTTTTTCTTTTTCCTTTCGGAAATAACTTCAAATAAGTTGAAATAACTGCTCTTTTGAGGTCCTACACTCCCAGCCCAGTTGATGTAACTCAGTGGTTAGAGCACCGGTTGGAAATGCGCATTGTGGTATGAGGTTGCGGGTTCAAAACTCAATTGCAGCCTTGCGCACTGACACCAGCAGGGCGTCAGAATGACGCACGACTGGACACATACCCCCTCAGGCTGACGCAGGTAAGTTATTACAGACACGGCCTATGCACCACCCAAGGGTTAGTCCGGGTCGCTATATGTCGGATTCTACCTACGCGGGTTTACTTGAGGACATTGGCTACTGGTTGCTCTGATGATCTCCCCCATCATCCGTCATACATGGTCCATACTACAGTCTGGCAGAGCTGTTATACACACATATTCATAGTGACTGTGTCACATGGTTCTCGATACCTATACTACCTACAGGCACATCTATACACCGTCTTAGGGTGTACACCCATGACCTATGGACAAATTGCACAAGCCTATGGTCACCGATACATTGCTTACACCGTCACATAGGTTAGACTTAGACACTGGCATATCAGTAGAGTAAGGTGGGGGAGACCGATCTCTGTCATGGGTTCATCATGGGGTTCAGATCCAGGCTACAGGGAGTCTGCTCTGGTCTGTGCGAATACTTGGCCGCGATTCGGTTTGTCGGTATGGACTGATAGTGATACTGATTGTCCCTGACGTCCGAAGTCCCTCGAGTAACATGGTTTGCGTGTGCAGGCTTCCACTGGGGCTGGGTGGAGTAGCTGTCTAGTCCAGGTGTCTATAACCACTATTCGGTCTACGTCATCCTCTGAGGGTAGGGTGATTGTCCTGAGTCCTTGTACGACTGAGGTAGGATAGTAGGTATAGAGGGTGTGTTAGGAGAATTGAAGCCGTTTTGCGCATCAGTGTACCCACTAGCTGGCTGAGCTGGAATAGTACCCGGAAGTTGATCACTCCGATATCAGAATAGGCGGGAGCCATGAGGCCACGCCTGGCCGGCGTGCAGTCTGTGATTGGCGCCAGTGGAATACCACCAACTCGGGCCATACCTCCCCACGAGAACTTCCGAATTGGTTGCCGAGAATAATACTGGGTTGTTTGCCCACTGGCAAGTCTCCACTACAGCACTCCTATGACAGTACCCACCTGGGTCGATACCCGACCTCTATAACAACCTGGGCTTTTTCAAGGTTAAAAAAAAAAAGAAGAAGAAGGAATAAAAAAAGAGGTCCTACACTCCCTGTGGTGATAAGCGCAGTCCCTCGTAGTATGTCCCATGCTGTGCAAGCTCCATTGTATCGGTGGGGAGGTTCGCCTGCTGTAAAGCGGGTAGAAAAGCTCGGAGTGCCGGATGCAAAAAGGCTGGTGGTGCCAGACAAATCGCACATCACAATGGTTTGGATCCGGTGTCGGGACAAAGTGCCTGGGAACACTGCGATACCTAAGCGAAACACAGGCCACGCCACTGTTCTTTCCTTTCCTTTCTCCCACTGCATGTGCCCGTGATTGCAGTTAGGTTCCGGCAGCACACACATCTTTCTTTTCCCCTCGTGCCCATGGTGCACTTTTCCTGTTTTCATCACATACTGTTTCTGTTCCAATCGCAACACACCCTTCCCTTGAAAATAAATGGGCATACAACCACCTCCCTCACACAAAACCACCTCCACAATGGCAGTGCTCAGAGATGCTTGGTTTTTGCTGGGGTTCCCGAATCACAGCCCTGAAGAGAGAATGGTTTCTACAGCATTATGTCAGCATGTGAATGTTTTACCTTGCAATATGAATCCAATGGATCTCCAATGGAATGCACACGGCCATGACCACCCACAGTCGATACCACCACCAACTCATAAAATCATGCATCTCCAGATTATGTGAAAAACACCTTGTTCTTTGGCTCCCGACCACTCAATTCCTGCAATCTAATGACCTTGCACTAATGACCTTGCACTAAGGAGTCTCCTTGCACGCCTTGGCCGAGAATCCCTTACAATATGTCTGTTTTCTTCAAAAAGGTACTGGTGCCAGAGTGAAGCACTTTTCATTGAAAAGCCACAATTGTCGAGCCTACCAACCCTTTATATCCTTACTTCACTCACAATTGGCGGATGACTCGTAAACTTCGACCCTCTTTGCACCAAAAGGTCAGCCATGTTTAATCCCCCTCGGAGCTGACAGCTATTCAAAATATTCAAACCCCCGCATGTTGGGCAGATCCCACCCCACTCCCCAACCTCGCATGTTGGGCAGGTCGCACTCCCACCCCTCCCGAAGCATGCTAAGCAGGTCCCACGCCCACCCCCAGCCCCGCATGTTGGGAAGGACCCACCCCCAGCCCCGGCCCAGCATGTTAGGCAGGTCTCACCTCCACCCCAACACCTCCGCCCTCGCCCCTGGCCCCACCCCCACGACCCCAGCCCCACCCCTGCAATCGAGCCCTCCCCCACGACCGCACAACCCCGCAAACCCGCCCCCGCACAGCTGCAATCTCGCGCCCGACCCCTGCAGCCCCACACCG